AAAAAAAAAAAAGAAAAAATAGGAAAAAGGGAGAGAAGAAAGAAAGCGGGAGGGGAAAAAAAAAAAGAAAAAAGAGAAGGGTCGACACAAAAAGGCAGGGGTAGAAAATTTGCAAACAATTCTCGGGAGCATCCTAAAAGTGGGTAGTTTCGTTCCAGAAATAGTCCGAGGGCCACTACTGTCCGTGGCATCGAATATTGTGCAGAGGAAGGTTGGTAGTACACGCGTAAATACAATAAAGGAGAGGAGAGAAGAGAAGTGAAGAGAAGAGAAGAGAGGAGAAGAGAAACTCTCTCTCTTTCTTTCTCTCTCTTACTCTGCGTGCTTTTTACACGCATACCTAGTCAAAGTCACATACTTGCATATACACACGTTCATATACCCTCTTCTCTTACAATCCACGTATCCTGCACGCTTACACATACACACACACACAGACATTGTCATCAAACGTTCATATACAAGCATGGAGACTTACTTGTAGTGTTACACAAAGAAAGGTTTACACATAGAAGGAATGATGACAGTGGTGTGGTAAGCCGTAGCATCCCTCCTTCTAAGGGTGGGTGGAGGGTGCAAAACAATTTCTCTGCATACTTTAGCCCGACAACGGCCCCTCTCTGCCATTCGCACCACGCGTACAATGCAACAGCCGTTTCTGCTGTCCTCTCTCTCTCTATCTCTATCTCTCTCTCTCTTGCTTCCTTACTCATACACACGAATACACCAATACCCTTATAACTAAAACCTCTTCACTTTGTCGCCTCATGTGCACGGTAATATATACCTACAACCCTTTCTCACTCTTTTCCTCTTTTCCTATGCATCTATGGTTTAGGTTACTCTCTTTTTATCTCTTTCTATCTCTCTCTCTCTCTCTCTCACTGTCTCTCTGTGCTCTTTTCTACGATGCTTTTTATGATACACATACGTACATACATATATACATGAATATAATATGCTTTTGCGTATAGGTTTGTTAGTTGGTTGGTAGGAAAAGTCTCTCTTCTCTACGATTTTCTGCATTCATCCCATCGTATCATTCTCTTCTCTAATCTTCCATCTCTTTCTTTACCTCTTGATCTTTCTATCTTTTCCCCCTATCCATCTCTTTCCTTCTAATCTTTCATTTCTTCTTTTATTTCTTTCTCTCTCTCTCTCTCTCTCTCTTGGGAAGGAGGAAGAACTACGTTTCTATAGGACAATTGCACCCGCTTTACACGGCATTCGTTCATTGTCTCTTCTCCTTCATCGAATTTTCTTTCACCAATTTTACCCATCGTCCCCCATCCCACTCTTCAATCCTATCTCGTTCTGTCACAATCTCTCTCTTTCTCTCTCTTTCTCTCTCTGCAACACAAACCCCACCATCACTACCACCACCACCCCATTTTCTCTCTACCATTCCGTTCCGTTTCGTTTCGTTTAGTTTTATTCCTTCTTTTTAGTTCGTCTCATCATCAGCCACGATTTCTCTCGTACTGCACGGACTTCATTAATATTCGACGACTTAATTACTCCGTCAGAGAATAAGAAAGTAAGTTGTTTAAAAAGGAAACGCTACTACGTTAGTAGATATATATATATATATATATATTTAACTATAACGATTACGCGAATTACATTTTATGAGGATTAATTAATACGTTTTTGTTTGAATGAAATCAAAATGATATTATAATTGACGAGAATTTAATTATTATTATTCCAGGTTATATATATATCATTATTATTACGAATTGAATATTTTCTATATGTGTTTAATTATTATTTCATATCATTATTATACGTTTCATTATTTAACGAGTTTACGTGAAAAAGAATTGTAATAATGTGTAATAAGAGATAACCCACCCCCTCCGTAATATAATATTAAATATTGATATATTATTTGATAAATTAAACAATTACCTATATCGAATTTGTTTTACATATATATGATAGATAATATGAAAGATAATTAAATTCTTAAGAATATGAAAATTAATTTGAAAAATAAAACACGCGTCAATCTGTGTTTGGGGGTATAAACTATTAAAAATGAAATATTTTATATTAAAATTGTCAATTATATAAAAAAAAAATGTTGTTAATAAGAACAGAAAGAAAGAAAAAAAAATTTAAATATTACTTTATTAATAGGATCGTAATATTTGATATATTCTATTCGAAGTTATGAATCCTAAATAGGTTTTGCTAAATTTAATTCGACAAATATATAGTAGCAGTCAGTTGATACGCTAAAATATCCTCAGTTTAAATCCGTACTTATATTTCCTATATTCTATCATATAATATAATACTTTAAAACAAACTTTGTTCAATAGATAAATATATAATTTATAATTTATACAAGTTTAGACATAATAAAACTACACGTTAAATACTTACTAAGTATCCTGATTTTCTAATTTTTCAATTGATTAAAACTTCATATCATATACTCGATATTTGTATGGTATATATTTTATCTAGTCTCATATATATATTTATTATCTATATACATACATATAATATACTTATTTGAATAATTCGCATAAAATTAACGAGGAAGGTATGCCGAACTCAATGAATTTTCCATTGGACCATTCCTCTTCTATTTTCACCTTTCTCTTCATTATCCTATTTCTCGGTCTACCTAGCAACGTGTTCTCTCTCTCTCTCTCTCTCTCTCTCTCTTTCTCTCTTTTACCGACTGACAATTCTACACTAGCTAGTAATAACGGCAAGAATCTAATTACCGAATCACAAAACGTCGTGCAGGAACAGGCAGCTTAAAAAAGTCACTTAATGCTTGATGACACGAGAATAGTAACGCATAGCATAATACTAATGTGCCTTACAGTGAACGTACCTTCGTATATAATGCTATTACAGTATTCCGAGTGACAGGAAATTCTACTATTTCAACCAGAATGCACATGCATGATTCTACATCCTATTCTCTTTCTCTTCTCTCTTCTTCCTTATCAACCATCTCATTCTTCTTCATTGCTTTATAACTTGTTACAGTTTCGGCCACGTGTCTCATCGTTCCTTTGTGAAAAAATTACGTTTTATTATCCGACACACACACACACACACACACACATGACAAAATGATTAAATAATACGAGAATTTTTTTTTTATTACTCTCTCTCTCTCTCTTTCTCTTTATCTTTTACATTAAAATAAATTTTCTATAATTACATTATTGAGAACAAAATTTTCAACATAAGTAATACAATTTTACGTTTGGTTTTTTTTTGTTCCTTAGGAAAAAAAAAAGTTCCGTATCCGTTTATTATGAATAATTTGTTGTTATTCATTAAAAAAAATATTCATTTTTGATATTTTGAAAGCTTCCCGTTTAAATATTGATTTTCTTTTATGTGATATTATATGCACTAGATTTAAATTTAGGCGTTAAATTATTTGAATCGCGTTATAATAAATTCTATTAAACGTTGATCATTGAAATATGACGTACAGGAAAATGATAAAAATAATTTAATAATTTTTTAATTTAATTCTTCAATGTGTATTTTTTTTTTTCCCAATCTCGAATCGAGAATATTTTCGTTTAATCGAATATTTTTCTATCGAAGTGAGAAAAGAAAAAGAAAACAAAAAGAGAGAATTTATTATGTCGTACGCGAAAAAATGTATAATTATTTTTGTAAATAATAATTATATTTTATATTTCGTACATTTGTTTGCGAGATAAATGCAAGCGTATATCACAATCAAAGTGTATTAACGTTGAAGAAATTAAACAGAAATTGAAAGAACTGGAAGTACGATAAATTAGATAAAACATATTTAACGATGATAAGATAATTCAAAACAAACGCAAGGAAAACAATAGATTATGTTCGAAATTCAAAATCGTAATAAATCAAATCAAACGAAATGTTTCTAATTAAAATAATTATTCATCGATACACGTACGTAAAAAAAGCTTGCATATGTTTGACCGACAAGTAGTTTTTCAACTGGTACAACTCGTAATAATATAATCCTGAACGCGGTTACGTTAAAATAATGATGCTGACGAATGTCTACGTTAGCGAAAATATGGGATTGCGTTTATTGAGAAAAGGTAGATAGGAAAAGCTCGGACGGAAATATGAAAACTGACGAGTAGGATAAAATCCTATGACCCGTTTCTCGAAACATCTCATGCCCAATTATATATAACTAACATAAGAACATTTTATGCTATATACTTTTATAGTTAAATATAATCTACACACAATTTGAGTCAGTTTTTCTCCTGTTATGTTTTTTCTTTTTTTCTTTTTATTAAACGATAAATTATCAATCATTTTCTTTCTGATTAAACAAAACAAAAATGAGCATTACAATGCAATATTCGTAATTACTATAAAAATATAACATTTTATCTATGCAGTTAACTTTAGTATCGTAAAAACAAAAGTCATGGTTACGATGCAATTTAAATCATTGCACGATAAAATGTTTGATATTTATTTCAACTTATGACCCAAATGAATAAAATAAAAAAAGATAAGAAAAATTTCGTTACACGATAGCAGCTTATTTTGATCTATTAAACATATATATATACATATGCAATACAAAAATACAAAATGAACAGATGACAATATAAATTGTAATCATTGCATAACGAAATATAATAAAAATAATAATAAGAAAGATTTCAAAAAAAACAAAAAAAAAAACAAGAAAAGAAAATAAAGAAATACAAAAAAAAGAACAGTCGGACGACGGAAATAATTGCAATTTGTAGTCAATTAAAAACACGTGATATTTATTCTCTTATTTATAAATGATTAAGCACTTAAGTTTGTAGATAATAATTAAATGAGTATCACGTGTTTAGATAACACCTAGACTGTAAAAATCAAAAGTAAAATAGTAATATCCAAAGATAAAGATAAAGAGAAATAGAATGTAAAGATTGAATGAAGAATTAAATCTCTCGTTAAAATAAAGAATATCCTAAACAATACCAATCAAACCGAAATCGCAACGTTTGAAAAAGCATAGCCTGGATAGTGTGTATTGAGGGTGTTGTAGTAGTGGTTGTAATGGTAGTGGTGGTGGTGGTGATGATGGTGGTGGTAGTAATGGTAATGGTGGTGGAAAATAGGGGGTGCGCGCGCGACTTTGTCCTTGTTATTTATTGTTCGGCCCGATGAGCGTCATTTTAAATTTCGATATAAATTAATTTAAGAGGCAAACGGGGGGACGAGGGAAGGGAAGGGAAGGAAAGGGCTGAAGGGAACAGGGGGGGGGTTTAAGCGAAAGCGCGCGGGTTGAGCGAACGCACCCTTTAGAAAGAAAGAAGAAAGAAGGAAGAAGGAAAGCAGAAAAGAAAGAAAGCAAGAAAGAAAGAAAAGAAGAAAGAAAGAAAGAGGGGGGGGGCGGGCGGAGAAGGGGCGGGCGGAGAAGGGGCGGACGGGGTAGGACGGGGCGTAATGGCTCGGAAAATGAAGTTCTTGTAGCCTTGCGAGAGAATCTCATCGTCTCCCTCCCTTCCTCACCCTGTCTCCCTATTTCACCTAACGCCAACCCTCTCTCTCTCTTTCTCTCGTTTTCCGAGCCTTTTCACCCTCTTCCTCCGGTAAACCACCCCTTCCCACTCACTCGCTCTCTCTCTCTCTCTTATTTTCCGTCTCTCTTTCTTTCTCTCACATTTAGCCCCTTCGCTACCAACCTTCAACTCACTTCCACAACCCCTCTACTTCTCTGATATACCTCGAAAAGCTCCCCCACTACGAAGCTCCACCTTCCATTCCATCTCCACGCAGAAACTCAACGTAGCTTGCTGAAATATCCTTTCGTCTCTCTCTCTCTCTCTCTCTCTCTCTTTCTATTTCATTCCCTCTTCCACCCTTCCATCCACGCCCAGGCACTCCGCTTTCGCCATTATCTTAAGTAAACAGACTACCTGCGCGCTCGAGAATTCCAGATAAAGTCACATGTTATCAAAATTCTGAAACCTCTCTCTCTCTCTCTCTCTCTCTCTCTATGTTACTCAAATTCTCTCTCTCAGTCGTAGTACTTATCGTCGAAGCATCCTTTATTCAGTAAGTGCGAGAAAGAGGCAACCGTTAATTCCGTTAAGTCTTAGCCGCGCATTAATACGCAACGAAGAGAAGGAGAACTTACGAATTCGCTCGATTCTACGAACGCGGATGATAATGATACACAGGGGTTTGCTTTAGGGATGCGGGGGGAGGGGTGGTTTGGTTTGAAGAAGGGTAACGGGGTAGGTTGTAGGAGAAGGGATGGGGTGGTGGTTGGCTGCAGATCGCATCCCCAGCTGTGGCTGCTCTGACGGATATGCCTGGAGACTCTGAGATATATTGCTCAGGATCTGTTCTGGAAACGATTAAGAAGACAGACACAAGTATAGTAAACGTGTCTCTCTCTCTCTCTCTCTTTCTCTACCTGCCCGTCCGTCTGTCTGTCTGTCTGCCTGTTTATCTATCTATCCGTTTCTCTCTCTCATTCGTATGAGTAATTAACGATACATAACTCGAGTTCTCGCTTGCTTATCTACTATACCGCAAGAACTATAATAATAATATAATAAACCTGTTTTATTTTTAATATATACATATACTTTTATTTTTTTTCCTTAAACTAAATCAATCAAATTATTCATTTAATGTCGCCGATACGAGATAAAAATTATTTTTAATAATATAATAATCCAATTAAAAAATAATTTCACGATAATTATTATTATTATTATTATTATTCGATTAATTATAGAATTTGATTGAGAGTTAGAAAAGTTTAACAATATCTTTCACAATGCGTATTGTCTATCGCGTTGATTGCGAAGTAATGGTTTAAAACGACTGTTACAAATAGTCTTTATATCCTTCCAAGAGTCGGAAAAATAAAAATAGAAAAGAAAAAAAGATAAAGAAAAAAGAATAGAAAAAGAAAAAAGATAGACAGCGTTTAAACTCTTTCGCCAGAATACGAGTAATGGTTCGGCGCCAGACTTTTATCATTTATGCAGACAAAATCCAACTGAGGGGAGGCTGAAAGGTACCGTGCTTTAGCTTTATATAAAAAAGAAGCCCCTGTCTCTTCTTTCCCCTCTTTCCTCCTACCTAAACCTCCCCGCCCCCTATCACCTCAATCCCTTCCTTCCTTCTCTCTCTCTCTTTCTATTTCTCTTTCTCTCTAAAGCAAGCCGAGTACTCTGACACCTTCTCAACCCCCGATCCAACTCACTTCACCCGTTCCGTTGTACCTACTCTAACAGTAAGCCAGCTCGGTCTCTCGGTCTATTCGGTCATAAGTATTCCAGGGGTGTCTAGGCACGCCGCATGAAACCAAGAATTGCCGGTATGCGATTCGCGTGTCCCAGTATGGCCGCCTACAATCAGAGTGGCACGCGGTTCCATCCCAGGACAACCTTGGTCAACCCTCCATGGAACGAACCACTTCCGTGTACCCGTCCAGACTAGAAGCCAACCCTTAAGAGTGAATCTCCAGCACTTCAGTGATTCCCGCCAATGCATTCTCATCTCTCCTTCTCCTTCTCCTTCTCCTTCTTGTCTTCCTTCCTTCCTGTATTCCTGTCTTTCTCACTTACTGGTTGGAAACAGTGTGACGACGTCCACGTGGGATGCTACTCTCGTCTCTCGGATATCCCCCTGCAACACTCTGATACACACATTCTATCAGTTTCAATCCCAACATGCAAGACCCAAATGTTTTCATGACATTCCTACAAGATTAAAATCGGTTCAAATATTTTCCCTATACTCTTGGAATTAATGTTTAATTTAAAATGTATTTGTGAACATGTATTCTAGTGAACTATGCATTTTCATACTCTGAGTGTAATCTTGAAATAAAATATTAATCGTTTTTTAATTTATGTTTTATTCAACGTTAAAGGTATACGCCTAAATTGTATACTTAATGGAATATAAAAAAGCAGAGTTTACGTGTACGTGTACCTGTACGTGTTACGTATATTCCCTTGGGAGTTGTAAATTTACAAAATCAAATAAACACGAGCATTCAATCTCCCTTTTGCTTTGAGAATTCGCTAAAATGAAATCTCAAACTCTGTAATGACTCTCTTAGAAACACGTTTGCTACATGTCTTATCTGCAATGGCATCGTTATCCACCGATGTCTTTAGTTGTTCAAATAGATACCAATAGACCTGAAGGCATTGTTAGATTCTATAGGCTGCGCCTGTTAGATCTGATCCTTTGAAACAGTTGGTCTCTCTGATCCCATTCAGCAATATTCTGTTTTCAAGATATAAGAATACTCCAATATTGTTTAATGCTATTCTCGTCCGATTTATTCCGAGATCAAAGACAAAGACTTTCACTAAATCTACGTAAATTTTCTACATTTTTTGTCTAAACAAAATCTTTAGCATTTAATTAACAGTTGTTTGACTTATGAATTTAATAATATTTCGAAAACAAATGTCGTATAATACAATCGAAAAAATATATTTTTTTGGAAAGGAGGATCGATTGTTTGAAGATTGGAAATAATTTAATGAATTTGGACGAATATTTAGAAGATCAAACTGATCCATTTATTTGACCTAACTTCGGTGTATTCGAACAGCTGTGGAAATGTTATCGCAGGGTTATTACTGTCGTTAGTATCGATTAACCAGCATATAGGATTTGTACGTGAACTCACCTGATAGTGACAGCGTTATTACCATTACCAACAATAAGCTGCACTTCTGAAAACTATGTGATAATGATTGGGTTATGACTGTTCTAATGCTGTTACGATTAACAAATTTTATTAACATGAATTATCGATAATGTCAAAATGAAATTCATTTTTTATCATTGCAGGAATAGAAAAATTCAACAAAGATGTCTAAGAACGCAAGAATACTCGAAGGACCACCTAGAACCTTAGAAACAAATATTTCTTTAGGACAATTTATTTTAGACAATTTACGAAAACACTACGACCATGTTTTTGAGGTAAGCAAGTAAAAAATTCGATTATAAATTTAATCAAATACTAATTAAATGATTCCTTAATGTGCAGATTAACGCTGAAACTGGTCAATTTCTAACTTATAAAGATATGTTGGAAAAAACGGTGAAATTAACCGAGGCATTAAAAAAACGCAACATCAAAGTTGGAGACAAGGTATCAATCATTGCCGAAAATCATTGCAATTGGTTCGTTGCAATGTATGCGAGCATATATCTTGGTACTGTTGTTGCACCAATGAATCCTACCTATACAGAAGGTTCGTAACAAATGATATACTTGAACAATTGAACATAAAGCGAATTATAATGATCAAATTTATTATCTAGTTGAGCTTAAACACGTGCTTAGTATATCAAAACCACAGATTATCTTTGTATCACGAAGAACGGAAAAATTGGTCAGTAAAGTAGCACCTAGTTTGCCATGGAATATAGAATTGATCGAATTGGATGACAAAGCACTGAATAGTAATGTTCCAACAATTGAAAGTTTGTTGAAGACTATAGATTACGATATAGATTATCACCGATACACTATCGTTGATATCGGTGATAACAAGAAACGTCCGGTTGTTATTTTATGTTCAAGTGGTACAACTGGTTTGCCAAAAGGTGTTGCATTGTCTCATTGGAATTTATTAAATTTGGCTACTACCATTGGGTAAATTTACAATAATATTTTGTATAAATTAAACGATATCTCTTTGAATATGATCATGTTTGAAAATAAAATCATTTTGAATTTCAGTACACCTGATTATTTAGGTATTACGAAAGGTTCAAGATTGTTAGCGTTCCTGCCATTTTATCACGGTTATGGGTTTGGTATGATAATATTGGCAACATGTAACGGATCAACTGCTGTCCGAATAACCAATTTCTCACCGGATTTATTGTTCAAATCTATCGAAAAATATCGTATAAATTTTCTACCATTGGTACCGTCGGTTCTAATTATTCTTGCTAAACATCCGGCAGCACCTACTTACGATTTTCGAAGCGTGAAAAGAGCATTTTGTGGTGCAGCTCCTTTACCAAAAGAGGTAACTTAAGTTTTTCTGTAATAGTTCGTCGTGTAAGGTCCGATATATTATCGAAAGGAAAGATAAAATCAAATGGTAGAGAAATAAAACGAGAGAGAGGGAGAGAGAAAAAAGGGGTTGGAAGGGATGGGTTATGGGGAAAAAGAGGGAATGTAAGTGCTAAGTGCCAAAGTCGGTCTTTTACTTTTGCTCTAGGAAAAAAGAAAAGTCGAATTTGAGACGCGGAAAAGTGAACAAAGAACACCATTTCTCGTTTTCCCGAGTAAGAAGAGAGAAAAAAAAATAAGAAAGAGGAAATAAAACGCAACTAACAGGAAAGGGGGTGGGAAAAGGGTGGTAGGGGAAAAAAGCCGTTTACCGTGTCTCGTAGGAATTACATTTATAGATTGATATTACGTACGTTGTTCTTTAATTATTAACGACACGATGATATTTTTTTATGTATAATTATTTACGTAAATTATTTCAGTAACAGATAAAAATAATATTATAAATGAAAAACAAATGAAAATAATTATTATTAGGGTAAGATAATACGAACACGATAATGATTTTTTCAGATCCTGATGGAAGCGAAAAAACGATTGAACATAAAATCAATAGAAAATGGTTATGGTATGACAGAACTTACGGTGGTGACTGGTATCAGTAACAAAACTGGTAACAATGATTCCGCACTTAATAACATTGTACCTGGTGTAAAATGTAAAATAATTAATCCTGAAACACAAGAGACATTAGGACCAATGCAAAAGGGTGAATTGTGCGTGAAAGGTGATCACATTTTAATGTTGGGTTATTACAATAATCTCAAGGCTACCAATGAAACAGTCGATAAGGATGGTTGGCTTCATACCGGTGATATTGGTTATTATAACGAAGCAGGTGACTTGTACGTCATCGATCGATTAAAGGAACTTATTAAATATAAAGGTTATCAGGTATCACCGGTTGAAATCGAAGTACTCTTACTTTCTCATCCAGCTGTTAAAGATGTTGCCGTTGCTGGCAAACCTGACGAATTAGCTGGCGAATTACCAACAGCTTTCATAGCCAAACAACCTAATTCCGAAGTTAATCCTCAAGAAATTATTGACTTCGTTAAAAGTACGTTATCACGACATTTTTTCTTATTAATTGAAATCAAATAAATGTTTATATTTCGTTGTTTTATTTCGAAAATCGAAAAATATCTATAAGAATATTCTTGTGGTTATAGAAATTTTTAATATTTTCCTTATTAATCGAATTGTTAACATACAAAAAATAATATCATTTGCAGATCAATTGTCACCGCATAAATGGTTGAGAGGTGGCGTACATTTTCTCGAATCTATTCCAAGAAATTCAACGGGTAAAGTAATGCGACGAGAACTTAGAAATTTGGCATCCCGTTTGTAAAAAGAAGAACAAATGTATTTTATATATCGAATATATTATCTAAACGTGTATAGGGAAATTAATAAAAATTAATTAAAGGAATACCTAGTATATTAAATTATATTATGAAAAATCAACTAATCCGAATATGCAACATTTACGATCTATAAATTGATAATAAAGTTACTTTATAAACGAACGTAATTTATTATCTGAACTATGTCGGATATAGAAAATCTAATAACAACAAGCAATGATAATATTTAAGTTTCGTACGGGTATGCGAAATAAAGTGGTGATACCTGTTGCGTTCGAATCAAATACGTCAACCCCAAATGTGAAATAGTGTATACCTATATAATAAAAATATTGTAATATTTATAAATGTTAAGTTTAGAAAAATTATTTCATTTCGTTAATAATATTTGAGATAACAATTGTTAACAATATAATTTATATCTTATAAGAAGAATCTTATTGGGTGGGTAAAAAAAAGAAAAAGAAAAATGAGAAAGAAAAAAAGAAAAAGAAAGATAAAAAATAAATTCCAATTGAATTGATTCGAACGTTAATTAACAGTGTCCACTATCGGAGAAATTTAAATTTTACATCAGAGAAACTCTTTACAACTACAATTGAAGACAGGTGAATGTGCGATACTTATATATGACGTATGAACATACAATACATACACGTAGTTAACATCGTCTGTGCATTCGTGCTTGACGTTCCTGTTGATTTAATTACAACGATAGCCCTCTGACAAATCTAATTGACGTGCATCAATTATTTGGCGAACGAAGGCCGTTTAATTCCCTTTCCAACTTGCCAGTGGCCGCGGTTTAAACGATAATTCTATTTTTCATGGTGCTTTCCTAACGAACTTCTACGCCATTTATGGAGATAGGTGTTTCTACATTTTTAACCATTCTCTTACGTAAAAGATGTAACAGGTTAGATGTGTAACAAAGTTTGATGAAAAATATCTCGTCATTTTTAATAATAAATATCTGAATAATTCATTCGTTATTACACGTATATATCTTAAAATATAATTATTATCTAATCGCTATGGGGATATTTTAAAAGATATATACATATATATATTTAATGTTAATTCAATTAAGGAAGCACACACAATATTGTATATTTTTTAACATTAGAGATTAAAATTAATATAAAATATAATAGAATACAATAGATACTTATTTGAATTCGATTAAATAAACTATCTTACTTCTGCAATAGAGATAATTTATTCGATTGTTCGTAAAGTTGAATATCTCGTTTACACATTTTTATTCATAAAAATTGAAATAATGTCTTGGAAGAAAAATCTTATGGAAAATTTGTTTCCATATTAAAAAAAATAACAATAGAAACGAAAGTTGTCCCATGAAAATTACATCGTTATTAAACTTAACGAAACCATCGAGGTCTCTAATAATATTAAAAAATGAACTTTAATAAAAAATCTAATAATAATTATCGGAAAAAATAAATTCTAACGAAATAAATATTAAACATACCTCTATACTACTACTTTACAATACTCTCTCTCTCTCTCTTTCTCTAAAAGACTTTGAAACGTGTTGTAATGTTGATAGGATGATCAGTGTTCGGTACGATTAAACGCAAAATTAAATTACAATTAGCCATACGTTCACGCTGCGAACGCATTTGGCAGGGATGAATGTTCGAGAGGGAAAGGGTTAAAAGAGAACCAGATATATATATATACACATATACATATACATATATATAGAAGGTGAGTGGTTGAGAAGAGAAGGGAATATTCGAGGAATTAATTCGAAGCAGAAGCGGAAACGACGTAGATGCGTAGCTCAAAATCAACATTAACGCTGGTTCTCGAACGGTGTAACGATCGAGACAACTAAAGCAACCATGATGATGATGATGATGATGATGATGATGATGATGATGACGCTTACGGATCCAACACGATCGATTCGATCAATTCATTCATCGATCGCGATTTATCCGTAGTATCCGTTAGTATTCGATATATAGAGATCATTTCAATCTATTTTCACCTAACCATTCGTGACACGCATCGAGCATGGCCACTTTAACCGATGTTCGATCGACTACTACCGATTTATAGGAGGCAGATACAAAATCGGCCCTTACTACTACCTACGGTTACATATATGCGATAATACTAGTACATTCGTTATACGATTCATATTACATAGGTATATACATTTATCTATATACGTATATATATATATATATGTGCGTATTGTAGGTAGACGATAGATATAACGAAGATTATCGGACATAACGCGGATAATAACGTGCTCGCGAAACCTTCGTATGAAAATGAGATAGCATGAAAGGAAGGGGAGGAAGGAATCGGTGGTAAAGGATGGGTACAGGATGGGTACAGGATGGATACCGAACGGTAAAAGAACGCTACGAGAAAGATCGTGAGAGTGAATGTGAGAGAGAGAAAGAGGAAGAGGAAGAGGAAAGAGAAAGACAGCTTATCGGTCGACTGGATCCAATACAATGCGAACTATTGTACCCACGTTCGCCATCCACTCCAATTCCTAGGGTTGAGATATGCAGCCCAGGGCTCGAGCCTGCACTTTGTACCACGTTTAAACCTCTATATACTAGAACACATTTGCTAAAGTTACCTCTATATACGTGTTTGTACGTAGGTTTATATATTTGTGTAAGGGAATGAAGGAGAGAAAGAGAACGAGTTATGTCTAAAATTGGTAGGTGATAAGAATGAGTGGAAAAGAGATAGGATTGTATGTACAGGATATAAGGTAAGACAAAGTGATGGTAAAAAATGTAAAATGTGAGTGAACGAGAAATAGATGAAATGGGATTGGTATTAACTCACTTATCTCATTCTTATTTTCCTTTATTTCTTTTATTTTCTTCTTGAACATTTCGCAGCCTCCGAGATACGTGCCACACTTCCTAATCCCTTTCATCCATTTTCTATAAAACTTGACGCAATTTTCACAGAGGTGTGTTACGTTAAACTCGTTTCTTTCACGTTTCTAAAAGTAACCTAACGTAGTACGATCACGTGCCGGACACCTTGTCATATCGGCATTTCCCCGAAAAGGGTCATTCCGTATAATATCGATCACTTTTTTAAAGTAACTTTCCTGATTTTTTCGTTCTATGTGTGGTGAATATTTTTAAGTCTTCGTTTTTATTTTCTAACGATTTTTTCGCTCGCGCGTTAAATGATTTTTATTATTATTATTATTATTATTATTATTGAAATTTATTACATGTATTTCTTTTCATCTCTCGTATGGAATAACACGAATATACATCCCCCTCGACATTTCGTACATATTTTTAATATAGATTTATATAAAAATAACATATTTTTTTTGGATATCGTTGGGTAAACATTTGTAATACGTATAAAAATTTGGAAAAATATTCATCTAGAAAAGAAAATATTTATATAATTTATATTCAAACGCGATTTTTAAATATAAAATCATTTTAAATTATGCCAAAATATGTGTAGTCATTAATTCGATAGATAGTATATTTGTGTTACATGATATAGATAAAGATAAATCATAAGTAATAATATTTTCTAAATTTCATCGCGTGAAACAGGTTGCTTGCTGCTTTCGAGACCCACAGTCTTAAATTACATTTTATATCAGATTACATATTATTTACACATGCACAGTTATAAACTAAAAAATATAAAATATAAGTTTTCTTTAGTTTATGATGTCATCCGAATAAAGGTCCATCAGGCAGGTATACTGGGGATAAAATATTTATCATTTACTAAGCGGATGAAGATAAGTTATCAAAGTAAGATAATCCTAAAAGTAGACAAAGGGCGAAGCATCATTCATGCTACACAACAGTAAGATTTATTTATTTCATTTATTAAATCATTTAATTAAATTTCAATTATTAATCCTACGATAGAGACAGAGGAGGGAGGGGAGGGGAGGGGAGATGGGGGAGGGGGTACAAGAGATGAATTATTTTATATAAAAGTTACGTTTTATTTGATAGAAATGATCAAAGAGAAAATAATAGCAGTTAGTACAGAGTAAAGCTGTATGATGTTGTCACGTGCAGGTATCGTACTATTACTAGGGAAATACTCTTCCTATCTCCTATGTAACCAAACTATTCACTATTATATTATGTTTGCGTTTTCAACTGAAAACGAATTTCCTGTAACTCACACGAAGTATTATTAATAACCTGTGATTACAAGAACAACGTCAATCTTCTAACAACTTAATAACGTTTATTGACTGGAAGTAACACCAATTTTAATTGCCAAAAAATTATAACTATTATAATCACGTGTAATAAAATAAAACAATAAGATAAATAAATTAACGTTATTACGATCACATTTGATTCATTAAAACATCCTTTTTTTTTTACTAAACTATTAACAATTTTTTTCTACTAGAGATTCGACGTTACAATAATAATATTAATTCTAAATAAATTATAATTTCTAATTTTGAATATATAAATATATATAAACAAGATCATACTTAATATTCTTCGACAATATATCCAAAATCTAATTTTCCCAAAATATATATCCACATAAAACAAAATTATTTCACGTATCCCATCCACGCACGAACATTGATTTATTCATAGAAATCGCGTACAACAAATCTTTTCAATAAACTTAAAAAATGTATTAACATTTAAACCCCGTCACGGTAATACCTATACATAAATATATATATATAATACATAATATATATGATATCGAATAAATGATTATATAAGTTAAACGTATCGAAGGTATCTCGTCATGATGATCGTCGTAGACCGAATGGAAAATCAAAGTCTTACAGGACGTAAAATCGAATCGATATATCACCGTATGGAGGCCGATCCTCTGTTTATTATAATGAACGAGCTTGCCTGTATATCCGACGGTGGATGGAAGCGTCGAGTGATATGGTGGAGAAGCGGATAACAGATACGAGCTGGAGGAAATCGCTAGCGTGGGGAGGAGGGTGAACAGATGAGGAGGAATAGGAGGAGGAGGAGGAGGAGGAGGAGGAGTTAGGAAGGGTGAGGTATGAGGGATGGGAAAGGG